GTGATAGGCCAGAGCTGGGAACTTTTGAATGGTGTATATCGGGATTAATGCTGATCCACTCTTTTTCTTAATCTCGAGATTAAATAATGCTTATTCTCCTCTTGTCATTAATCTCCAGATTAATTAACCGATCGGGATTAAGGATATCCTATTCTAAAGCTCAGGTACAGTAAAAAGTCTGGCAGCGCCAATAAAGTTGAAAGCAGTCTGACTTAGAATAGAGGCGGGGCCGTACTTGCCGTGAGTCAGTAAGGCCGGTACAAAGGGTCGGTCCGATCTGAATTCAAATTGACCCTAGTCCACCGTGCATTAGATTGCTAGGTGAAAATAAATTTCTAAGCGTTGTTATACTTCAAAGTCGACCCAGTCTGATGCTCATTTTTCATATTTTCCTGGATTTTTGGCCATGTTTTTTCCTACATTTTTAATGTATTTTTAAAATGCAAATCTTTTAATTTAAAAGTGCAGCAAGAAGTCTTGGAATGAATATATATATTATATAGAATGGTACGTTTGTTTATATTCCTCCCAGAATCTGCAGTACACTTAACTTGTAAACAAAGCTATACATTTCTTGTATGTATCTAATGCAAACTTTTTTGCTTTATTTCCAATTATATTCTTCTCTCTGTTCCAGACTGTTTTTTTATATTCTAAAAATTTAGCAAAATTGAGTTATACCCCCCCCCACACACACAAAAAAATGCTTTTATCGTTCCAAGTCTTTTTGTGTTGGATAGAGATATTCATACTTTTCTTTCGGAAAAATAATTATTTTCAACTGTGTGGTTTCAGTATAAAAGTGAAAAGAAATTGCAAGAATTTTACATTTTTTTTAGTTTTTCTCTGTTCGTAACAATCATCAAATTCCGGTCCTATTATCATTACATTCCAAACCTATCTATTTCAATTAGGTTTTTATCCTCTTTCATTCCTGTATTCCTGTACTCTCCATCCTTGATTATATTCTTTTCCTCTCTATAGCCTTGATTGTATTCCTGTCATTTCATCCTTGATTATATTCCGTCATTTATATTCTTGATTATATTCCTGTCCTCTCTATCCTTGATTATATTCCTGTTCTCTCTATCTTTGATTATATTTCTGTCCTCTCTATACTTGATTATATTCCTGCCTCTCTATCCTTGATTATATTCCTAACTCTCTATTCTTGATTATATTCCTTTCCTCTTTATCCTTGATTATATTCCTGTCCTCTCTATCCTTGATTATATTCCTGTTCTCTCTATCCTTGATTATATTCCTGTCCTCTCTATCCTTGATTATATTTCCTACCTCTCTATATTGTATTCAGCGGTAAGAGTGAAACCAGATTTTGAAGAGATAACAGTTGAGCCAATAATTATAACAACAGTCAGGTTGGCGTGTGCCATAGCCCCCCCCCCAGGTGGTTAGCGGAGCGTGTAACGTTCTAAACTCCGTGGTTTGAGCTGAGGGTCCGGGTTGAGTTTAGCGTATTATCTCTCAGTTGGTTTAAGACCCTGAGAAGCAAAGGGAACCCTGATATCGTGGTTATCTAGTGAGGACTATACTCTTGTATCTGAACCCAAGCATATCCATGTAAATGCTGCCTAATTATCGTGAAACTATGGAGAGAGAAGGTGAGCTAAACCAAACTTTCATAGAAGATTAATTTTTAGCATAATAGGAACTCTTCTCCTTTCCTTCAATACAAGGATACGGACAGTTTCTAACATTATCCGCGCTTTATAAACCTTGAAGTAATGAAGCAGAAAGTGTTAAACGAAAACTTAATAGAAGCTGTTTCGGATCATTTATTTTAACACTACGTAAATTAAATATGACTCAAGCACGGGAAAGTAAATTATTAAGATTGTGAAATTTTAAGTAATTTTTCCGTCCGGGGAAAACGAATTCAAAGCCTGTTCATACAGACTTTTTATCAACTTAAAAAAGTAGGTTTTGGTTTTGGTTTAAAAAAGTATTACTGTTTATCAAACTGAACTGAAAACAGACGAATCAATTATACACGTTTTATCAAAAAGTCAATTTCTAATTAAAAGTAGGATCGATCAGATGAAGCTTAAATGACGGGTGTGCGTTTTTTCAGTATTATCTTTACATTAATGGTTCTCTTTTAGCATTCCTTGCCAAATTATAAATTAAACATGAAATGATTATAAATGAAATGATTATAAATGTGCAATATTAATTCCTGAACATTTATCAAACAATTAATTATTAAATTAGATGGTCAAATGATAACGAATATATCCCATATCTATGTATATAAAATAGTAATCTTTTTTTGTTTGTCTTTTTGTATTCCTGATCATAATTTAAAAAATTGACTCTTTGCAACAAACTCTGATTTTCTAATCCCAATATCTTTGGATTCCAACGTCGTAAACCTTTGAAATTTCAAACTATGACTTTTGTTAGATCAAAAAATATAAGTTTGAAATATCAAAGGTTTACGACATTGGGTTCCAAAGATATTGGGATTAGAAAATCAGAGTTTGTGGCAAAGAGTCATTTCCTTTGTTGTTGATATTATTCTGAATTCGAAATATTCTAACCTTCATGTGGTTTTCTCCGATATAACGATCTCTCTGTTACAAAGGAGTTTTCGTTGAATTTAGAATTGATTAGATCTATCGATCTTAAACAGATATAGTGTTTTTTTTCAAGATAACTAACGATCTTATATGATCCGTTAAATATGACGATGTTTCAAATGATAAACGATAATGTTAGATCCAGTGATCTTGTTACATCTACCGATCTTGCTAATTTCAAGCGATCTAGGGATCTTTAAGGGACCTTGTTAAATCTGGCGATCTATTATGTTTTGTGCAAAATATTATTATTAAATCAAGGGTTTTTTAGAGCTTTAGCTTATCTTATCAGATCTAGAGTTCTTTTTAGAGCTAACAGGTCTGATCAGATCTGAGCTCTTTTTATGAGCTAACAGATCTGATAAGATCTGAGCTCTTTTTAGAGCTAACAGATCTGATCAGATCTGAGCTCTTTTTATGAGCTAAGAGGTCTGATCTAATCTGAGCTCTTTTTACGAGCTAACAGGTCTGATAAGATCTGAGCTCTTTTTATGAGCTAACAGATCTAATAAGATCTGAGCTCTTATCAGATCTATCTCTTAACCCTAAACAGTCTGGGAGGGGGGCGTTTAGTGCCCCCTGTAGTTTTTTTTGTCCTAGCACTCTAATTTTTGACACTATCACCGTGAAATTTTGTGACTTTTAATGATTAGTAATTTAAAGGATTTGTTGTTAAAAAGTATCTTTTTCATTTATATGGTAGGGTGCAGGGCGGAAAAAAGTCCGGTCTGTGAAAAACTTGTTTGTGCCTAAAGCTACAGATCTAAAAACATTATTTTTGAAAAGCCCTTGAAAAATGCATGTAGAAACATGTGTTATACTTTCATATTTGTTTAAAACAAAAAATTATTTTTTTCATTTTATTTACCCTTTTTCAGACCCCCAGCCTGTATAGGGTTAACAGATTCAGACCCCCCCCAGCCTGTATAGGGTTAACAGATTCAGAGATATTATCGGATCTCGTTTTCTCATTATATCTAAATTTCTTTTTAGATCCAAAGTTCGTATAATTCTCTAGAATTCTCGATTATACGTAGAACCATAATTAAAGCTGTTTTAATATATTACTTAACATCTTGATGTAGAATTATATCGAGATCTATAGCATTCTAATTAGCTTCATAGTTTTATTCATCTCTGTCGCAATCATCAAGAACTTATTTAAGATTTAGCTTTTTAATCCTTGCTTCTCATTTTTCATAACCGTATAGTTCTTGTCAGACCTTTACTCAGATCCAGTGCATTAAAGTTTAAATTAAAGTTTAGAGTTCTACAATTTCTTTCCTTTTTGTTTAATTTTATTGTCATTTTTTTTGACATTTTAAAAGTATTTTGAATTATGCTTATCTTTGTTTTCTAATCAATCAATTCTAAACCAACCTACCATTGGAACTGAGTTCTTGTAACAAACTCAAATTTCCTAATCTTTGCAGCCAGATGGTGTAATCTTTTGATACTTCAACCTATGAATTCTGTTAGGTTGAAATAACAAAGGTCTACGACATTATGATGCAAAGATATAGAGTTTGAATAAAAATCCCTTTAGCCATTCAGTGATCGATAAAAAAGATTAATTTAAGAAAATATGTTTTTAAATTATTAAAAAATGTTGTCAAATCAATTTCGATTTTTATGATTGAATCTTTGGGAGGAGTCGCCCCGCCCCCTTTCCTTCATTAATTACTACTTATAAGCTTTATACATATTGTAGTATAGAGGGTTGAATTGGTTGAATGCACGCTATACCAATTATATACTTAATTGAGTCATTGCTGAGACAGATACGGGAAGCTAATGTTTAACTTCTGCTCATCAACCAGAGGGGGGGGGAGGTGATACCTTTTGAATAGACAAAGTTAATCTAAATCGCTTCAAATGAATTCTTTCTCTCTCTCTCATTGGTTAAACCTCCGAACTTGAGATGCAATTAGAGAGTAACGAATGTGTTAAATTTTTCCCTCCCATAAAACTTCTTCGAAGAAAGGAATTAAGTTTTTACCACAAACTCTGATGTTTTAATCCTGATATCTTTGCCATAAATATATAAACTATAAATATTTCCAATAATCTAAGTTTTTCGTCATCAGGTTGGACAGATATAGGGATTAGAAAATTCGAGTGTGTTGCAAAGACTTAACTCCTTTGAATTCAAAAGTCTAAACCACTAAACTAAACTTTTTTTAACACTGTAGTTTCAGTAGAAGAGAAGTAAATATTTCTATTCACTGTTTAGCCCCGATATAAGGATTCATCTCTAATTGAATGATGAGATAGATAGAAAGATAGATGATACTGTCAAGCAATTTATTTTGGTCCAAAATAGACACCAAACACATGACTGAACCCTGATTGGATCAGGCGCCAATGGAATCGCATACAAGTTACATAATTATGTTTCAGAGAAAGATCGGATTCAGTTTTCAAGTTTATCCAAAGGATTCCTACCAGGATGCAACAGTATTTACCCTCAGCATCCTCCTCCCTACCTACCCTACTCCCTCCCCTCTCTCTCCTCCGTCTCCCCCCTCTCCCCTCTCCTACCCTCCTGGTGCCTACACTCCCTCCTCCTACAGTCACAAGCTAATCTACTTCATCAGCTTCAACTCCAAGCTGCTCAATCAGGTAGGCATCATAATCATCATCACCAGCATCATAATAATCATCATCATCAATAATCATTATCAATTCATAGATGATAATATTAAATAAATTATGAAAAGATCAGTTTTCATATATTATTTTTTTTCGTAGCAATACTTTTTAGCAATATAGATATATTCTCATTTATTGGGGTTCAGCTGGTAAATTTAAAAGAAAAGAAAACTAAATGGAAAGAGTTTGGATTGATAAAAGTGATGCATGATCCAAAAATAATAGTGTATTTTCACTGTAATTATCCAGATAATAATGAAATATGTTTAGTGAGAGGACTGAACAGTCCTGTATTAATGAGACCGGAGAGTCCTGATACAACATCTCCGCTCAACCTCTCTATTAAAGAAGAGACCAGGATAAAAACTGAGGATGGAATCCGTTCTAGTCAATCTACTCCTAGTCCTCCCCCCTCCCTGCCCTCCTGGACCAAGGGACGGGTCTGGTCTCCAGCAGTTGACCCAGCCCGGCGTATCTGGTCACCAGCTGTAACCTGTGAGCAGGAGAGTAAGCTGATCAACAACAACAACGTGACAGTGGACGTGATGTGTGGAGATTGTGGCGGGATAAGCTCCAAGTTCCGTCCTGATTCATCAGGTCTCTGCTCCTCCTGCATACAAGGACAGAGCAGAACGGAGAGAGCATTTCCGGTAAAAACGTATATCATAATTTTTTTTTCCATGTATATAAATTGTAAAAAAAAGTGTTCTCTATCTGTAAAATGCACATTGCACATCTTTAGAGTAAAACATATATTTAAATATTTGTTTAAATGCAGTTTTTAACTTTGTATAAATTTTTATCTTTTTAGTGTCCACAGTGCGGGAAAACATTTAAAAGAAGCAGTACCTTATCTACCCATCTTTTAATACACAGTGATACACGTCCTTATCCTTGTAACTTCTGCGGGAAGAGATTTCATCAAAAATCTGACATGAAGAAGCATACGTACATACATACAGGTAAACCTCTTGGACAGCTCTTGAAGTCGATAATAATATAATCCCCCCCCCCTCCATCCCAATCCTTTAATCACTTTTTAAGAACGAAGAAACCAAATAATATTGACAACACCTTCAATTTTTTTTTTTTGACAAATATACCCCCCCTCTTCTCACCAAACCTTTAGTTGCCCCTATGCATTAGCGTTGAAACTATAGTGTGACCAAATTAGCTAAATCTGAATATTAATAATTAATTAGCATAATCAGTTTAATCTGATTTTTTTTGCAGGGGAGAAGCCTCATAAATGTGTGGTCTGCAGTAAAGCGTTTTCACAAAGTAGCAACTTAATTACTCACATGAGAAAGCACACTGGATATAAACCTTTCGCATGTGGAGTTTGTGAGAAACGGTTTCAGCGAAAGGTTGATCTCCGTAGACACAGGGAGACTCAGCATCCAGGAGAAACCATACCAACCTCTCCCATATCCTAGGAACATTCTTCTACTAGATATTGTATATTGAACCTGTCCTAGTTTATATTGATTAACGATCTAGTCTCAACTGTAGCTCTGGGTCTAGTCCTACATACAGATAATATCCTTCAATCTGAACCAACTCCGCTCAATTTAAACAAATTCTCCTAATTATAAATTCTAATCTTTAGACCAATTTCGTTCCAATAAAAGTCACCAAGTGAAAAATTGATTACTGATCAGTGTCCGTGGTTAGTGATCGATAATTTCTTGACAGCGGTCGATGATCAATGATCAGTTATATATGGGTTTGATGACAGATATCTTTTTATACACAATTTGGATAAGCTTTATTTTCCAGGTTTCAAGTATCCAGTTTTACAAAAAATGAATTATTTTATGAAAAACGGTTTTAAAGTTGAATTGAACCTTTTCATAATGTTCCTAAGTCCGTTTCATTCTCTCCTAAAAAGTTCAAACAGTAACTTTATTTGTGTTAAATATCATTTGTCACTTGTATAAAATTATCAAAGGGAGTAGAAGATACTACCCTGTTGAAATAACAAAGGTCTACGACATTGGGTAGCAAAGATATAGNGTAACCATTTACTTGAACTTAATTATGTATTTAGTTGATTAAAAAACTAGAATATTGTGTTATCATGCATTCTATAATCTATACCTATGCCGTCCGAACTGAGTGTAAATTATCCTTGTTCCTCTCTGCACTTTTGCTAACTCTAAAAGAATGCAAAAAAACACATTTATAGATGCGATATGGCCATTACAATCAATTTTGAAGAAAAAAATTCCAGAAATAATAATTATACATCAGTGAGCTTAAGTCAAAGAACAATATTTTAACACTAAAAAAAACTAGTACAAAAAACTGGTTTAAATTACAAATACGAATTACACAAAAAAAACTAGTACAAAAAAAATTACAAATACGAAGTTTACCAGCCGAGCCCAGTAAATTGGTCCAATTATACTTGGATTATTATTATTATTATCTTGAAGAAAGATTATTATAGAGATGGCAATGTTCTAGCTAGATTTTTACTGTTAAAAATTATGAACGGTTAAAATATTTCTTAGCATCACCAAATCCATACTTGAGCAGGTTGTTTTAATAATTTCTACTGCTATGATTGGACAAGATTAGAATCTAGAGGTAGAAGAGGAGGTCCATGAGTAGCATAGATGGTTCCATCTTCACATGTTCTCCAACCTATATAAACAGTTTAAAATTATTCAGACACAGTTTCTTTGCCTAGAAATGGACAGTGCATTTATATCCAATTTATATCATTCTTTAAAACTGTTATTTAAGGATGATTATCATTAGAACTACAGAACCGACAGTGCATTTATATCATTCTTTAAAACTGTTATTTAAGGATGAATATTGAATATCATTAGAAGTACAGAACCGAAAAAAATCATTTTGTCACTAGTCAGGAATAATTTTAAAACTATGATTGTAATTCCAGAGACCGAATTTTAAGAGTTTGAGTCGTAGCTAAAGTAAGGTTGATTCCACTTTAAATTGTATTGCAATGTTTCAAGATTTAAGCCGGCGCTCAATTGAAAACAGGTTTTGTTATTTAGTTGATTAAAAAACTAGAATATTGTGTTATCATGCATTCTATAATCTATACCTATGCCGTCCGAACCAGTAAGCATATCACTCTTTAATTAAAAATATAGTGTGTTAACACTAGATGTATACAGGGTGATTAAAAATATACATTGGACTCTAAAGATGTACAAAAAGTCCTTGTTTCACTCTGAAATCATTTTATTGTATTGAATACATTCAGAAACTTTTTCCTCTTTTTTCCTTTCATCTCATTTATTAAATATTATCTCACTTTTCACGTTTTACTGTACACCAGATATATACAATTATTATGTAAAATAGACTTCAGCTTGCTTACATTAAAATATCCTGGCGTCCAAAATATAATCTCTAACAGAAACTTTATCGCAATTAATGATTTAGTCCACCCGTTGTGTTTTCATTATTGTAAGTTTACTTTTAGACTTTGTACGTTATTCATCAATAATTATGTACAGTTGACATGATGTACTCGTAACAAACCATTGCTGTTTAATACCAAAGATTTAAATTATTATATCATTATGTTTCAATAAATGTAACTCTTTTATCTGGTTTCTTCTATATGAAAATAGTTATCTATATAGTATATATAGTATATATTATTATAGATTTACACTAAGGTAAAATGGTAGAATATGATAAGACAAAAACAAGAATAAAGTATATATATAAATATAGTTTTTAGTCGGAACATAAAAGTTATTCATGTTTGCGATCTCAATACTATCAACAAAATTGTTTATAACAAAATTATCTTCTTTAACTTTAAGTAATTCATGAAGAATGGATAATTTCCACTCTTGGTCTAAAGGAATTGTATGTCATATTTTGTTTTACGCAAAATTTGTTTAGATTTCTAGATTGTACATTACAATCTTGTGCAATAGATTCAAGATTTTTACATAAATAAGTTCTTAAATCATGTTTACTTAGATCTACTAAAAGTCAAATGCATAGCTTTTGACATTTTGATAAACTGGTCACAAATTGTACAAAACGAGTGCATAAAACTGTTTTAATATGAGGAACATTGGAAATGGGCTCAATGAAATATCTATGGGTTTCTCTTGGTAGTTCAAATAAAATGCGAATAGCAATGTTTCATGAATTCAGGAGTTTTTGAACATCCTACTGTACAGATCCCAGAGATTTGAGCCATAGAAATCACAAGTATATATATTATACAATTTTAACACTATGTGGATGTATTAGCATAATAAAAATCTTGATTAAGAGAATGTTTCTTAGAAACAAATTTAGCACGTTTACAGCTAACATCTTTTGACATAGAACCATAAGATTGTAGTGTGTTGTAGATATTTGATTTCCTTTACATAAGGTTAAGGGTAAATTGTTTAAAAGCAAGGAACTATATACAGGAACGCCCAACTCAGATATACGCATATTATATACTGTACACAGTGGGACGAATGTAAACAAACACAGCGTCCCCAGAAGTTGAAGGGAAAGGAGATGTGATATTACAGTCCAACAAAAAACAAGTTAATATATCAAGTTATAGCGAATGCTTATGATTTTTGGCTTTCTGGTCAATATGGAAAATACAATAGCAATATATTCTTATTCCACCCCTTGGGCCCTTTTCCCTCAAAAGGTTTATAAAGGGTCAAATTTTAAAAATGTTTTTAGGAAAAAATCATTTATAATTTATTTTAAAAATTAACCTATTTAACAAAAATTCCGCGAAAATGCAGAGTCCTATAAAAATGCAGAGTCCTATAAAAATGCAGAGTCCTATAAAAATGACGACTTGAAAAGGAAAAGTTATAAGCTAAACATTTTAATAGTATAAGGGCAAGAAGCCTAGTAAAGAGAAATATGGAGAGGAAACCCTTTTTGCCAAATTATCTTTCATACAGTTAAATTACTTTATTCAAGGCAGATGACTAAATTCAATCTTCTTCTTTGTATAACTTTTTATAACTAAATATTTGAAAAACGTTTAAAGAACGTGTACACTGTACAATTCAGAGATATCCGTGGTTTCCTCGAAGGAAAAATTTGAGAGGTTGGGTGAAAATATTATGTTTTGTTTGGCCGCTAATGGAATATTAAAAAAACTAGGCGTTTGGGACGCTTCGCTTCTATTTCAGCTTTTAATTGTGGCTCTTTCTGTGAGCATCTTCAAAATAAAAAATAACAAAAAAGTTCGCGGATCTAATAATATTTTTTCGTGGATTTTTAAAATTTTACAAAAATAAAAAATTTGATTTTGTTTCTTCCCCAAGCTGAAATTCCATATTCTATAAATGATCAAAATAAAGGCTTGTAAATGGTTAGTTTAATATTACATAGGAAGAATATTTTTTACACTTGACAAAGCAAAAACTGCACTGGATGCTTTGTTTTTAACCGACTTAAGATGATGGTTCCAGTTAAGATTTTCGTCTAAATGAACACCTATACAAACTTAAAAGATTCATTTTTACATCCAGTTCCTACTCTTTCCATATCTTTATTATCTATTAGAAGTTTCAGAGAGGTGATTTTAGACGAATTCAAAGTCAGTTTGTTTGCTTTAAACCAATCTTCAATTTTAGAGAGCTCAAAATTTGCCAAATCACATAAGTCGAGTAAGCTTTTTGAAGAAAGTTGCAATGTTATATCATCGGTAAAAAGAATAGTAAAAAATTTCGATGCTTTAGGAAGGTCATTGATAAGAATTAGAAATAAAATTGGTCCTAATATCGACTCTTTTGATACACCACAAGAGATTTCTTTAAGTGAAGAGTCAACACCCCTGATTGAAGTAAATTGTTTTCTTCCATTTAAATAATTTTTTAACCATAAGTTAGAAGTCCCACGAAATCCATAGTGTTCAAGCTTGCACAGTAGAATTCCCAGAGTATATTCGGATACAGGTTTATTTAGTGCGTTGTATATTTTATCTAAGAAATGAATTAAGGGTTGAGTAGTGTTGTGCTTGGCTCTGAAGCCATACTGATGTTCAAAAAGTAGTTTAAAGGAATTGAGTCTTTGCCACAAGCTCTGATTTTCTAATCACTATATCTTTGGAACCAAATGTTGTAGACCTTAGATATTTCAAACTATGAATTCTGTTAAATCAAATAATCTGCAAGTTTGAAATATCAAAGGTTTACAACATCGGGCTTTAAAGATATTGAGGTTTAAATGTTTGCTTTTGTTCCAAAGACTCAATTAATTTCTTCAAATATTTTATGATTTGATTTGCTGCCACTTTTTCTAGAAGTTTTGAAAACGAAGAAGTGTTTTTAAAACACCCTTTAGTTTATAATAATATATTTTCTTTTGCTTTGAGACAAAATTGTTTGATTTTAGAATCTTGCTCTTGATTTTAGCATTCTGTTCTTGATTCTAGCATTCTGCTCTCGATTCTAGGAACATTGGAAATGGGCTCAATGAAATATCTATGGGTTTCTCTTGGTAGTTCAAATAAAATGCGAATAACAATGTTTCATGAATTCGGGAGTTTTTGAACATCCTACTGTACAGATCCAAGAGATTTGAGCCATAGAAATAACAAGTATATATATCATACAATCTTAACACTGTGGAGTGTGGATGCATTAGCATGCACGGCGCGTTCAGACTTTTTACAGTACCCGGCCTAATCCTAGGCCTATTTGACCGACCTCACTGGATTAGTCTACCGTGCATAATGAAATTCTTGATTAAGAGAATGTATTTTAGAAACAAATTTAGCACGTTTGACAACTAACATCTTTTGACATAGAGCCATTAGACTGTAGTGAGTTGCCAAGATGTTTAATTTCCGTTACATAGGGTTAAGGGTAAATTATTTTAAAGTATCGGGCAAATATTATCAGTATTCATGACAGGGTTACTGAAAACTATACATTTTGTTTTTGATTTAGAAACATCTACATTTGTACTAAACTTTAACTCATGAAGACTAGCAAATTTTTCACAAACATTAGTCATGAACTGTAACCATGACCCCAGGAAAGGTTTATTAACGGTCAAATTTTAAAAATGTTGTTAGGAAAAAATCAATTATAATTTATTTAACGTACAATTCTGAGATATCCGTCATTTTTCATTTTTTTTATTAAAATCGGGTCTTTTAATATTTTTGTTTCACACCTTGAAAAAAAAACACTTATAAATGCTAGTATATCACATTGTGAAACAGTAAGAGTAGCAACTTTGCGAGTTTATAAATGTTTTCGATGAAGGAAGAATTTGAGAGGTTGGGTGAAAATATTTTGTTGAGGTCGGGTGAAAATATTTTGTTTTGTTTTGCCGCTAATGGAATATTAAAAAAACTAGGCTTTTGGGGCGCTTCGCTTCTATTTCAACTTTTAATTGTGGCTCTATCTGTGAGCATTTTCAAAATAAAAAATAACAAAAAAGTTCGCGGATCTAATAACATTTTTTCGTGGATTTTTCAAATTTAACAAAAATAAAAAATTACTGAAGACAAATTTTTGTAATTCTGATCATCTATAAACCTTCCATAGGGTCAAATAAGGCCCCACCAGAAATTTGGGCCTGATCGATTGAGCCGTTTAGACGTTTATCGGTTGCAACTTGCAAATAAAAAAATTAAGAATTAATATTTCTATCTTAAAATGTCACACAGGGCCGTAATTCTGAGCGGACAGGGGGCCGTGTACTTGTTGGATCACTTTTTCAACCAAGCTCTCAATTTTTCAAAATTAAAAACGTGGCTATTTTGCCAGAATAGTTGAATCTGAGTGGATTTTGTAGATAAAAAAATCAGGCTAAAATGACCATGTTTATCGTTTAATCACAAAAATTTCTTAAAAGGAATTGAGTCTTTGCCACAAACTCTGATTTTCTAATCACTATAACTTTGGAACCAAATGTTGTAGACCTTAGATATTTCAAACTATGAATTCTGTTAGATTAAATAATTTAAGTTTGAAATATCAAAGGTTTACAACATCGGGTTCTAAAGATATTGAAGTTTAAATATTTGATTTTGTTCCAAAGACTCAATTCCTTTGATAAAATAAGATTGAAAGGAATTCAGCTTTTGCCATAAACTAAAATTTTCTAAACCCTATAACTTTGCAACCTTTAATATTTCAAACTTCAAACTTGGATTATTTAATCTACAAGATCGAATTCATAATTTAAAATATCTACGGTCTACAACATATGGGAATAAGAAAATCAGAGTTTGTGGCAGAGATTCAATTCCTTTCTGAGTACTTTGAATTTTATGAAATATATGTCACATGTTTAAAGCTAAGATTAATTGTGGGAAGTATAGAAGACATATTAAATATACAAAGGGCGACCCCGCAAAGTGGGATTGTGGGTTTTTCACAGGTCCCTAAATCCTGCAAAAATAGCAACTTTTGGAAGTTTAATGCTTTATTTTGGCGAAATGATATGTTAAAATATGTGCTTCAAAAATAAATTAAAGCCAGGGTGTTTAAAAAAGAGGCTTAAATTACCCGATCATAATGAAATTAATATTACAATGTCTCTAGGGTGTTAGGGCTATGTGAAAAAAACATTGGATTTGGGCAACCCAGCTCTGAATAAAAGATCTATGTCTCTTGGGGATGGACCTCATTAGCCTACACGGGAGAGCCTTTTCCCACCTTACTGTGCTTCAGTTCACAGAGATTTTATTTCATTTCTTCCTCGTAACCTTCTTTTTATTATGCCCCAATTACTCTCAATTATAGGTCGGACATTGTTAAACTTCATGGACATTGTCCGGTGTAAACCAAACTTTAAACTATTGCTCCAGCAGCTGTTCTTCATGTTGATGGAGAAGTGAAGGAGCTGGTTCTGCATTTTCCTGGAAATGGTTGGTTCCAGTATCCTCCTAATAGTTCTTGGGTTATTTAACCTTCACCCTGAACTTGTAATCTGGTAACTAACAAAGCTATTTGGAGTTTTAGTGTAATATTGAATATCTTTAAACAAATTCTTGTCATTTTTAAGCCAGTTCTGGACCATTGTTAACTTTACAAATGTTTTTTTTGTACGTAGGCATATTAGTTCCATCTCCAAGAGACAAGAAGCATTTATTCAAAGGGAGTGACTGGCAATGTAGGTAGTTGAACTGAGAATGTAGTTTTGTGGAGACATTTTTAGGATTCATTTGAGACATATAAAACGTTTTAATGATGTATAAATACTGAGTTGGAGCGCAAAGTCGACGTTCAAAATCATCAATTAGGTGGTTACGTGTTGAGAATCGGTTTTTTTTAAATTATAAAGAAACGACGACAAAAAATGTAAAAACAATTCTACAGTAAACTAATTAGATGTTTAGGAACGTCATATTTCTCAATTGAAATTTTGTCAATAAATCAATGTTAGAATTAATTATTATATCATTACATTAAATTTCTTAACTTCATGCATTTGTTCGGTGATCTCTTCAAATTCTTCAAATGTCGTCTTTTCAATAGAAATTCTAGGAAATCTACAGAAAATGTTTGTGGACGATGAGACATTACAGAAACCAATAACTAAATAAGATTACTTATTGTTCGATGATAATAGCTAATTTTTATTTTCTCAACCTGTTGCTAAACAAATAATTAGTTTACTGAAGAATTTTTACTACATTTTTTGTCGTCGTTATTAAATAATTTTTTAATAACCGATTCTCAAAATCATCCCTCAAAAATGAACAATCTATAAGGATTTTAAAGATTGAATTTTCGCTCTTGCTGAACAAATATGCACCGTAAAAACGTCTCATAGGTCTCAAATGATTCCTAAAAAATTTATCCACAATACTACATTCTCAGTTCAACTACCATAGATTGCCGGTCATTCACTATACAGCAGGGTAAGATAAGATAAGATAAAGTTTACTGTGTGCAGAAAGAGTTTACAATTACAAATTGATTATTATATTAACAGTACAAGTATAAAGCAATTAGATGGAATAGCTCTTGGCTGTTTTGATTATTTTTTCCACCTAATTTTAATAATGATAACAAAATATTTCAATTAAATAGATTTAAGGAGAACTATTAGAGATCAGGGTGCGATTTTACAGTTATGCAAAATTGTTTATACATTTATTAGAATAACTAGAGTTTAAAGTAATTTTCTGACATGTACGCAACAAATATCAAAGTATATTAAAACATATCTAATTAGTTTTACATGAATAGAAATTCGGTTTAAAACAAAGAGAATTTAGTAGTCTATTTTTAAATATACTCAGAGTTTTTTTTAAGTCAAGAGGCAGGTTATTCCATATCTTAAGAAGAGAGCTTGATGGTAAATACTGTAATGAGCACATTTTTTGAGAATGTCAAGTTGATAGTTAAGAGATCTTTCAAAGTTTCCAAGCTTTTTAAAAATGTTTTCAAAAGATGCAGGAAGAAGTTTATGTGTATATTTATACATAAATATAGCTTGGTTAAAGTCTACCAGATCATTAATCTTTAGAATCTTATACTTAAAGAAAAGAGGATCAAATATATGAGAAGTGGCTTTTGAGTTATCAATTAATCTTGTTGCTCGCTTCTGTAAAATGTGAATTTGTTTCATTTCCGAACATTTTTTTCTTCCCCAGGCTGAAATTCCATATTCTATAAATGATCGAAACAAAATTTTTTACAAAGCAAAAACTGCACTGGATGCTTTGTTTTTAACCGACTTAAGATAATGGTTCCAGTTAAGATTTTCGTCTAAATGAACACCTACAAACTTAAAAGATTCAGTTTTACATCCAGTTCCTACTCTTTCTATGTCTTTATTATCTATTAGAAGGTTAAGAGAGGTGATTTTAGACGAATTCAAAGTCAGTTTGTTTGCTTTAAACCAATCTTTTATTTTAGAGAGCTCAAAATTTGCCANCCTCCCCTTGTTGTAAATATCTAAATACGCTGGTTTTTAGCCAACCTAATATTAAATTATAAAAAATCTATTTACCTGTCCGTATTCAGTATTTACCCCATGTATAGATTTTCTACACAATTGTCCAGGTTCTTCAACTATATCATTATTGAACTATTTTACTCCTAAATACAACTCAGAATTGGAAAACCCAGTGGAATATAGAAAACAGATATACAGGGTTACCCACAAAGGATGAGACTTTAATGACGGCCAGAAGCCTAAATAAAGAACAGCATGATCTGAAGGTTAAATTGGGGTTTCTGTAGAATTATATATTATTAGGCTTTTATGGCGATTGTGAGCATTTCCTCTTTGTATACACTGTAAAACAATAACAAAAAAATTCGTGGATTTTCAAAATTTTTAAAATTCGTTTTTTGTTAGAGGCAAATTTTTGAAAATTCGATCATCCATAAACCTTCCCTGGGGTAAAAAAAATGGACCCGATCGGTTCAGCCGTTTTGACGTTTATTGGATACAGACAGACAGAGAAGCAAAGTATATATATAGATAGATAGATAATGGCAAATAAAATAACTTGGAGATGGATTAAACATGTTTACAGTTGCAAGGAACCATGAATGTATGAATGATGAGTGATAATTGTCAGGTTTGCGAAGAACTTGTTGTAAAGTTAACTCCGTCTGTAATACAACATGTCATATTTTTGTATGGTGTACAGGGAACTTATTGTATAGTTTACTCTTTATGTAATACAACATGTCGAGAACTTATCTTCAGGTGTACTCCGTATGATATACAACATGTCTCGTTACGTTAGGTTTGCGGAGAACTTATTGTAAGGTTTACTCCGTATGTAATGTAATTCAATATATCAGATTATGTTAGGTTTGCGGAGAACTTATTGTAAGATTTACTCCGTATGCAACGTAAAACAACATGTCAGATTATGTTAGGTTTGCGGAGAACTTATTGTAAGGTTTACTCCGTATGCAACGTAAAACAACATGTCAGATTATGTTAGGTTTGCGGAGAACTTATTGTAAAGTTTACTCCGTATGCAACGTAAAACAACATGCCAGATTATGTTAGGTTTGCGGATAACTTATTGTAAGGTTTACTCCGTATGCAATGTAAAACAACATGCCAGATTATGTTAGGTTTGCGGAGAACTTATTGTAAGGTTTACTCCGTATGGAACATAAAACAACATGCGAGATTATGTTAGGTTTGCGGAGAACTTATTGTAATATTTACTCCGTATATAACGTAAAACAACATGCCAGATTATGTTAGGTTTGCGGAGAACTTATTGTAAGATTTACTCCGTATGCAACGTAAAACAGCATGCCAGATTATGTTAGGTTTGCGGAGAACTTATTGTCAGGTTTACTCCGTATGCAATGTAAAACAACATGTCAGATTATGTTAGATTTGCGGAGAACTTATTGTAAGGTTTACTCCGTATGCAATGTAAAACAACATGTCAGATTATGTTAGGTTTGCGGAGAACTAACAGAATTAATGAGTGTAAGTGTTTGTATTTTATGATTATTATAGAGAACCTCCCTTTAATCAAATATATATAAATCCATATTTATATTATTATTATGAACTGAATACACACATTCAGGAGTAGTAATCAATAATCACATAATACATGAATTGTATTTTTTATGATAACATTAAAAATAAATTGGATTTACAACAAAGAATGAAAATATACAAGGTCTAACCAATGTTTTGCAACCATCGTGTTGAAAGCTTATTTTTTTAAATTTATTATTCTAAATTCTAAACTCGTACACTTTTTTTAACAACCAGAAGCAAGCCTGAGACTAAGTGAGAATATGGAATTATTAAACTAGATTCTTTATAGATCTAAACCCGCTGTAATAGGAAAATAGTAGAATGTTTTTTTTTAAGAACTGACTTCAAAAAAATCTTTTAAGGGCCTTGCCAAATTTTAAAGAAAATGATAAAATAATATATTTCTTTAAATTAAGGTTCAAAGGCAGTTTAGTTAACTATTTAGTCATGGTTCAAAAAATTCCTGGTTTTCACTCACTTTCATTCGAGTTTTAAAAGATTTCAATTTAATGTTTTAAAACATTAACGACGGATTTTTAGCGAAAAAATATAAATAATAAAAAGGAATACTAAATATTTTCTAACATAAATGTTATGGATTAGTATGCCATAATACATATATATCCGAAAATATAAATAATAAAAAGGAATACTAGATACTATTTTCTAACATAAATGTTATGGATTAGTATGACATAGTACATATATATCCGAAAATATAAATAATAAAAAGGAATACTAGATACTATTTTCTAACATAAATGTTATGGATTAGTATGACATAATACATATATATCCGAAAATATATTTATTGATCAGCGAGGAGGAGTTAAACTACGTAGATATACTTCAACCACTTCTCTTGTATTCCGATTCAAATTGGGGACAAGTGGTTCAACTTAGTCCACGTAGTTCAACTACTTCTTGCTATTCATTAGGTTATTCTTAGGTTATTTTCTTCCATGTATCGAGGACATGCTATGTATGCTATCAAGTTACTTTCACTTAAATTGTTGAAAGGAAAAGGATCGACTGTTTTTTTTAATGTGTCAGAAAAATATTGAATTCTGCAGTTTTGAAATCGTAGAAAGATTTTGACAAATGCTAAAATAAATTTAGGAAAAACTTGACTTTGTTTTGATCTAAAATCAGTGCATAAAATGGAACCAAAAGAATCATTATAGATACAGTTAAACCCATCAAACTTTCCAATATGAAGCAACCTGATGTGTTTTAAAAAAAGTTATAAACAAATAGTTTTAACACTATTAGTTTGAAAATTAACTTATTATATGAAATGGATTTGTTAACTGTACAATTGCTTTGTTTCCTGTATATATATATTGGACTATAATTTAAAAGCATAACTTGAGTCTAACAGTCGTCTTCCTATTCCACAGTTATAATCTATGGAGGGATCTTATTGTATTATCTGGGAAAAATATTTTTTACCAATGTTCGTTTAAAAGAAGACTTGGAAACTTATTCTTGGATCTTGGTTTAGTCTTGTAAGGAAACTCTTCAAACCTAGTTTTGTTCCGTTTCACAGTTTTCCTCCTAGTTTTCCTAACTCAATGTTATTAGTGAAAGCAAGCTCTTAAGTCTATTACAAGCACTAAGATTGGGTTTATATTTTTTAAAGATCAGATCAGATAAAATCTGCAATATGTCAAATATATCAAATAGTATCCCACGCTAATATGGACGTTAACAAGTATTAATTGCTTTGGTAAAAATAAAGAAACAGTAAAAGAAAGTGATTAAAGTCATTAAAGTTTCTAAACTAGAAACTAGCTGCAGAAGAAGTTATAAATAAAATGCATTCGACAATGCTGGAATCTCTTTGTGCCCTCGTAATTCCTCTAATTTTGATTTGACGCAAAAGTATGGGAAAACTTTAGAATTAGATACCCTTAATCCCGATCCCTTAATCTGAATATCCACTGTGGAAACTTATGATTTTCTTAATCCTCTCATTTGGTAAACTCTGATTGGTAGAATTTAAGGTACTTTAGTAGATAAAGATTATGATAATCTGGAGATTAATAAAAATAGAAAAGATCCAGCACTGATCCCCCCCGATTCTAAAGTTTTCAGCTCGGGTCACTTATCAGAAATCTAAAACATTTTTTTTCTTCCCAAAACTCTTAAATAAAATAAGTTAAAAAACATCAAAAATTTCAATCTTTATTTCAATTTACTATAGTTTAACGTGTCTAATGTTCTAATCCTATAATAACTTTGCTTTTGTAACCTGATGTCGAGGACCTTTGATTTTAACAACTAAGAAATGAGAGAGATCAATAGATGCAAAGTTTTCACCATCAAGTAGGAAAATGTCTGTAGGTATTAGAAAAGTAGGATTTGTGCAGTGTTATTAATTCCATTGGTTTGATTATAAAGACAAAGAAAATTCATTGAACAATGAACGAATATTAAAAATTAAAAAGTTTGCAAAAATCGGAAAACTGAAGAGGACAATATAGATTAAATGTAATGGGGGTTTAGTTCTAAACTAAACTATTCGAATTAAATGAATTGCTAAAAGCTTTCTTTTGAAATTTCCAGAGAAAACTATCAGTTGATTTTTAAAATTCCTATTCAGAAAAAATTTGTGTTCCAAAGAAATTATTGAATCTGAAACAATTATTTTTAATATGTTATTCACTGTAATATATTCTTTATATTCACTTTTTGAATTAAAAAATTATTAGAACAGAAAAATAAATTTTCTATTCCTTTAGTATATATAGATAAAGTTCCGAATTCAGAATTCCGAAGAAAAAAAAAATATTTATTGAAGTGTCGAAAAAAATTGTTTTGAAAGGAGAAGGTTTTTTCATGGTTTAAATACATTGCACAATATCTGTATGTATTGTATACTCTACACTGAGTATAGAGGTGAGTAAGCCTCAATAAATTACCTCGCTATTGTATTCTCCCCTCGTGTCCTCATTATCATCAAGGTTTGTTTACAAAATCATTATTATCCGTGAAAACTAAATATTATTCAAGTATTTCAGAAATGTGTTAACACCTACAATGAAAGAATAACACCAGTGAAGTAACAAACTTTCCAATATTTTATAAACAGCGGTAGACGAATCTACGTACAAGGTGTCCCACAAAACATGACAGTTGGTAAATAGTTTAAAATGTCTTCTTCTATAATATTTCAAATTCTTTGTTGCCAAAGAGAATAATAATAAATATCTTATGGCATCCATATTTAAAGTAAAGTTAATTTATAAGTAAAATATTTTTTAGTAAAGTTTTTTTTAACTAAATTAACTGCAAAAAGTCGTTATAATATCCAATACAATATGGAAGAAGACATTCTAAACTATTCACCAACTGTCATGTTTCGTGGGACACCCTGTAGATTGAAAAAAGTCTCGTAGGAAAAAAGTTTCTTGAAAAAAAATTTGAAATAAAAAATTTGATAAAAAAGTCCCAATTTTCATTGCATTTTCTACTCAAAAAAGGTGAAATAGGGGTTGGTCATTTACCAATCCTTTTCAGATTATTCTCTTCGGCCTTAAATTAAATTTCAATAGTTTTTTTTGTTTACTTTGGCTCAAAAACCAAAACTGTACATTTCAAATTCAACTACGCTGGTCGCTGAATATTCTAGAATGGGACAAGATACTTATTTCACTGCAACGTAGACAGAAGGAGAATAATACTGATAGGGCTTTGTGACCTCGTAGCTCTACTAGTTTGGAGTTTACGCACACACATGAGAATTGCTAATTTATCAAGTTACGCATTATAAATTCAAATTATTTTTATTCTTCTCAATGAAAGGAGTCATGATTGAAAACATTTAGTATTTATGCTCTTGTTTAAATTTATTGTTCCAATTTTCATAATAATTTTTTATGTGTGTAATTTTAGATATCCTAGATATTGGCCCAAAAAGGACAAAACTATAAAATCTTTTTTAAATACTGTTTCTGATTTGCGCACTTTATTTTTTCTATCTTCAGCATGGATTAGGCTAAAGTTAAATTTTAAAGGACTATATTTATGCCATTAACTAAAATTCAAACTGGAGAACGTTATATAGAATTAGCTTGATTGACATTTCATAGATAAGACATTATTTCATAGATAGGACAGTTCATGTATAGGACATTTCATAGACAGGACATTTCATATACAGGGCTTTAATAGATAGGATATTTCATAGAAAAAGAAATTCATACACAGGACATTTTATAGATAAGACTTTTCATATACAGAAAATTTCTTAGACAGAGCAGATTTTTCATAGAAAGAGTAGATTTTTCATAGACAGAACAGATTTTTCATAGACAGATCAGATTTTTCATAGAAAGAGTAGATTTTTCATAGACAGAACAGATTTTTCATGAACAGATAATTTCATACACAGAGAAGAATTAATTTTCATAGATGGGTATTTTCATAGACAACAAAACAATTTTTTTCTGAAACAATTTAAGGTTTTGGGTAAATAAAAAATATGTCTTCTATCTTTACATAAAACTGCAATAGTTATTCACAAGTTAAGGGATTTGTAAAATTAGAAAACAAAAATAGAAGTCTTAATCTCAACTAAAATTGATTTTTCCATACAAATTGTGTATGTATCATTAAAAACTGTTTTATTATGTTGAGATTGTTTAAAAAAAAAAGGTTATTGGTGATGCAAAAGCCAAACATTTTTATTGGAGACCAAAGTGCGGGGCATGGAGACAGAATGGCGGAGTCTTGGTCGTCTTGGAGACCATGTTTCGCGGGGCTTGGAGGTTATTCTTTAGATCAGGAGTCTCTGGAGGTCATTTTCGGGGCTCATGGGGGCCATGGCCCATTTTTGTTCAGTTGACATTTTTTTTATTTGTTTATTAGAACTATTTCCGTACTTGTATTAGTATGTACTGAGTTGTTTGTTAAACCTTATTCAATTAATCACAGAAAGCATTTAAATGTCAGCTTCTATAAGTTTAGTTCTAATTCTAATCACTCGTGTCGCTAGTGTACACCACATTTTACAAACGCGGCATTCTTTCGTTTTATTCGCTTGTTACACTCCACGTGCCAGCATGAGCCTTTAAAGATTAGGCATCTGATGGATAGTTGTGATTGTTTACGTTTAGTTACTAAATTTAGTTAATAATATCTGTCAAATACAAGGCGTTCTATTGTTTTAGCAAAGCATGTACTTTTACCATTGTTTGTCGTCTCAATTATCATTGTTGACTCTTTTTTTCTGTACTAAACCCTTGAAGATAAGTAGGGTTATGATTTAACATTTATACATGTAAAATCTTACTTTCTGTACTAAATCTTACGTCTGGAGCACGAATTAAATTAGTAAATTATTTACCATGTTTAAACTTTTAACACAATTTCTTGGTTTACATATGATTGATAACATGAGTACCAGGAACACCAGTAACGTCTCGTATGAAAGTAAATTTTAAGGTTTATTTTTTTTCAGAATGGGTGAAACCAAGGAGCCCCAGCAGTCTGTCCAGGTCTTTGGCCGGAAGAAGACCGCTACTGCTGTTGCTTACTGCAAGCGCGGAAAGGGTCTGATCAAGGTAGGTTTTTATTCTCTAACGCGATTATCGTCTATCTTTATAAAAATCTGAAAGCCAAGTTTGCACTCTACCTAAGT